CCTGCTTGATAAATTATATGCATTTGAAAATATGTACAAGTATATGGATTGTTGAAGAGAGAGAACACATGACCGTGTGTGGTATGAAGGTTTAGTGTTTATGGGAATGCAGGATAGTAGTATCTAGCGCTTATACATTATTTTCAGTAGTAGGCCTCAGTGCTTTACAAATGAGGTAAGTAAGATGTTCAGAATGGCTGTATTATGTGTTAGCCGTAAAGCTGTTGTACATCTTTCACTATGAACATTGAGAAAACCTTCATAATATGTTATCAAATACCTTATGTATAGCACACATCTTACAGAAAGGTAGTAGAAAACTTTTAGACCTTTAAAAAGTTGTATTGGGATTATATCTTTACAGTGTTTATTCCTTTAAAACTGGTATTCTTTGTTACCATTAGTCCTAACTGTGTGGCTCTGAGGGAGTCGTGTAAACCTCCTGACATCAATTTACTATTTATAATGTTTCAGATTTTAAGTCCAGTACTTTAAGTGCTAGAAACATATTTTGGGTTATGTTGGAAAAGAGTGGGGGGTGCTTCTAAAGTTATGATATACTAGGCTTTAATGGCTTCATTTTCATTCTATTGCTGCTTGGAGGAGGTCTTTGGGGAGCAGCAGAGAAGCAGGTTCAATCTTACTTTAGAGGATTGTCCCAGAATGAAATTAAAAATAATATGGGATTGTTATACTACACCCAGTTTAGATCCCATTCTATAGGGGTGGAAATTATTGACAAGGAAGGAATTTACTGTGTTGTAGTATATCAGTTTGAAACTGGGCTTGGTCCCTTCCTTTATGAGCAGACAAAAAGTTTGGGGTTGCTTAATATATAGGTCAGTCAACTTCTGCATAAGTAGAGAAAAAGGCAGAACTTTTTGTATTCTTATAGTTAATCCCCTTCCTAGCCAACTGGAGAAACAGTATGGAGAAGCTCAATGGCAACCAGATCCAGTTCTGCACAGAAGGGGTAACTCCTTCAATATACGGTCCTGTGGAACTGGTAAGAGGAGGAATGGGGACTTCTGGGGAAGATGGTTATGGGTTGTTGGGTGTGAAGGGAAAGCACTTAAAATAAGGAAAATACGATTTTTGTACTATGTAGATTATTGTGCTACCCTTCCCCTCCCCTACCCTTCCCCAGGCCTTCCCCCGCCCCCAACTTCTTGCTGCTGTTTGCTGTTTCCTGATGATGTGTTTATCTTCCCCTCTTTATGCTAGTTCCATATTCAAGTAGTCAATAAAAAAGGCCAGTTAGAGTATGTCTATGGTGCAGTCATAGACATGACTAAGGTAATGTAAAGGTACCCAACATAACTTTAAACTAGTTAGCTCATGTAGCAATAACAGTCTACATGTAAGAACACGGAACTCAGGGTGGGCTTGCTTATACTCACTTTGTTTCACTGAGTAATCCAAGAATGCTTCTGTTTATTAATTAAACAATGCAAGAATACTTGGCCTTTTAAAATAGGATTTTACTTTTCTGCTTTTATCATTGCTATGAGATTAAATGTCTTGAATTTCATTTATCCCATGTCTATTCTTTTTCTAAGAGTTAAACAGTTTTACTTATGGGCATTTCCTTTTATTACAATGGCAAACCAGTTAACTTTTCATTTTTAAGCATATTCCCATTCAAATAATGACATGGATCCATTCTCATTTCCAGCTATTTCTGTATGATTGTGTTATTGTATCATAATTTGTCTTTCCAGTGGACGATGCTGGTAAAATAGAACATGAAGGTTCTGCTGAAATTACCATGGAGGCAGAGTCAGAAAGTGATCCTTGTAAAGTGGATGGCATTTGTCCAGAAGTCATCAAAGTCTATATATTCAAAGCTGATCCTGGAGAAGATGATATAGGTAAAGCAATATGTTCATCTTAGAGTATCTTAACATGATTTATTTAATCCTGTGTAGTAAGGCTGCTGGGAGATGTTAATTTAAAGGTGCAGTGGGGTCTATCCCCAATCCCCGCAATCACACCCCCTGCCATGCCATATGTGCATAGCAGAACACACTGTTTTGGGATCAGGAATCATATCCCAATCATACCCTACTTGCCAGTGCAGAGGGAGTCTGGGATCAGGATTCTGGGTTCCCCTGCAAAGCAGTTTGAAATCTGGGTGCCTGAAAATCAGGTGATTGTCAACTGGCTCTGGGGCTTGAACCAGCCCCTACATGGTCCCTAGGGTTGACTGACAATCAGCTGATTGTCAGGCACCCAGCTGGCTGGAACTCTGGCACGAACCCTGCCAGCTCTGACATTAAGTTGATTGTCAGCCAGATCGGGTCCACACCAGGGGTCAAACAGGCTCCAGTGCATTCCCAATCCAGCTGACAACAGCTGATCATCAGATGGATTTGGAGTGCAGTGGGGTTCCAGCCTCAGTGGAGTTCCAGTCTAGCTGAAAATCAGCTAATTGCAATGGTGGTTCGAGCCCTGGTAGGGTCCCAGTTCTGCTGACAGTCAACTGATCATCGGCTGAGATGGCACCAAGGCTAGTTAGAGACGTTGGTGTTATCCTAACCCTGCCACGTATTGGGTTTAAAACATGAAGGAAACCAGCCACAAAAATACTGTACCTTTTGTGTGTATTATTTTTGTGGCAGGTTTCCTTTTTTGTGGCAGTATTAATTCCTTGAATGTATAGCCGGGTTAGTACTTAAGATATAATTAACAGATCAGTCGCATCTTAAGTATAATGTCTGCTAGGGGCCTAAGAAACTGTGTTAGTTTCTTTCAAATGACCTTTAAAAAGCTTTGAGTTCTAAATGTTAAAGAATATGCACTATCTATTTTTTTTCATTTGTTTAGTTCTTCAGCTTAAAATGTAATTTAGTAGAAATGTACTGTTTTTTGCTCTTAATTAGGAGGTACAGTTGACATTGTGGAGAGTGAGCCTGAGAATGATGGAGTGGGACTACTCGATCAAAATAACAGTGTTCGTATTCCAAGGGAAAAAATGGTTTACATGACTGTAAATGATTCTCAGAATGATGATGAAGATCTAAGTAAGTAGGTGGCCTTCATTTGGGGACAGGGATTTTTATTTTTAATTATGTGAAAATTTTATTAATACTGTTTACTGTTAATTTCTCTTTCTTTTAGATGTTGCAGAAATTACAGATGAGGTTTATATGGAAGTGATTGTAGGGGAGGAGGATGCAGCAGTGGCCCATGAACAGCAGATTGATGACACTGAAATCAAAACGTTCATGCCAATAGCTTGGGCAGCAGCTTATGGTAGGTGATAATCAAGCATGTCTTAAGGTACTATGGCTAGTATAGGAAGAATATGATATTTGGAATATCTTCTTGGCATTATAAATCCTAAAGCTGAATAGAGAAGGGAGGAATAGGAGGAGGAAAATTATAAAGCAAGGTTCTTTCTTTTTCCATTTTAACAGGCATTTCCTTCATATTTGCATGATGTAAAAGGAAGTGCTACAAGAAGCACACAGACTTCCAGCTGAAAAATTGCATCTCGAGTACCTCTACCCTTCAGAGTTTTGGGAAGCAATAAATGCTGACTTGGGGATAGAGAGCTGAATATTTATTTTTGTCAAAAGGGAGTATGTAGGGGTCAGTTACTCTCTAGATGAAAAGCAATGTTGCTATTTCATTTAAGGCAGTGAAGATGAGTTGTAAATACTTAGTTTTATGCGTGAAATATTTTTTAAAAACGGAGACATTTTTGTACTGCCTTACTAAGTGATACCAGAGCCTTTGCAGATGGCTGGTATTTCAGAATTTTTCCTCTTGGTTCTTGGTATTTGGACACTGGCTGACACCAAAACTGACTTATGGGAGTCGATCATCTCTCTACTAATATCAGGAGCTCATGTGCTAGACCAGGTGTGGCCAAACTTCCTAGTCCTTCTAGCTGCAAACCAAAATTTTGACATAGAGCGCTGCAAGATGCAAAGTTTTGGAGATGTGTATGGCCCAGAGTCAATGACGTGCATACAGTGCCTCAGCACAAATAATAATTCATTGTTAAATGACTTCTAAGAATAAATGATTAGCAAGATCTGAAGATCAGATGTAGACAATAATAAATGAGCAGACATATAGGAAAAGAATGCTTTTATAATGCTACTTCTCTTTTTCAGGAGATGTTTTTAAATTGCTCTGGAACCCCATGCAGCTCTTGAGCTGCAGCTTGGCCACCCCTGGGCTTGATGCTGCCCAATCATATAATAACTGGTCCAGAGAAGCAAAGTAGGCTATTGCCTACCAAAATTTATACCTCTCTGAACCAGTTAGTCTCTAACTTCTGCTTCTGCCTCTGGAGAAAGGAGAGCTTCTGCTTCTGCCTTTTCTTCAAAGAGGTTACAATATAATTTTAAGATAGATTGCAACAAGTGGTGTAACAAATGAAGGAAGTGAATGATAGGTCAGTGGTGTAAATAAGTGAATTGTCATCTTAAAAGGATCCACAGTCTCTACTGGCTGTCTGCCTGTCCCTTATTAATTGGGAATTTGACATAGGCATCAACACTGAAGTGATTATTGAGAAGGAACTTGAAGACTGATAGGTTAAGTGCTTTACAGACTACTGATAACAATCCTGGTGGTAATTATTAGCTGCCTGTAAGGGACTGGGGAAGCAACCAGGTAAAATATAAGAATAGACAGATAGTGAAGGGTGGGTAATGGCAGGGCCTTCAGAGATATATAATAGAAGCCTGAATTTTGGATAAAAATGGAAATCCAGTGGAGGTGTTTAATCAAGCTTTATGGTCAGAATTGTAATGCTCTTGTTTGTCCACTTGAATCAACTGACGTGGATTTTCCTGGTAGGTAGAGGAAGATGCTGCCGTAGTCTGGAGTAGGATTAGAGTTTGATGAGAAATTTAGCTAAGCGGACAGAGAAAACTGCTAGATTTTAGGAATGTTTAGGAGGTAGAAGCAACATGATTTTTTTTAAAGCTTAAAAGGCAAGAAGACGGTGAAATTAAATAAAAAGTCTTTTCACTTAGATGCTGGAGTGACAGGATATTTGGTTTTGTTGTCACCACAAAAAAGTAGCAATAAAGAGCACCAGGAGAAAATGGGGCCATGCGAGCCAAGGGGAAACAAGATGACATGGAAAATGTTTGTTAAAATTGCTGTGAGATCAAGGAGGATGGATAGAGTAGAAGCCTTATCTTTGTCTGCGCCTGGGAGATGATGTTGACCACAGTTTCCAAGGAGACAAAAAGATTATCCAAATTGAAGGGAATCCAGAATTTAGTTAAGAGAAAGAAGGTAACATCTGTAGATAGCACGTTTAGTGAGTGTAAAGATGAAGGAGATAGTGAGCGAACGGTGCTAGGGGAAGAGGGATGGAACGTAAAATGGAGTTTTTTTAAGAATGTGACAGAGGTGTGTTCATATTGTAAACGCAAGGAGCCTTGTGATGAATGAGTTGAAGGAAGGGATGCAAGAGGAATTATGGTATGTGCAAGCATGGGTCCTACCGGAGTGGGCATAGGTGGATATTGAGAACAGATGGAGAAACCTCAGTGTCAGTGAATGGAAAAGAAGAGACTGATGGAGGAATGATGGTGATGAGATGATAGTAATAGTCAAGGCTTAAAAACACAGTATTTTATTATTGTTCTTCTACACTGTACCTAAGCCTAGTGGGATGAGTGTTTTCCATTTTAGTAAGTAGGGAATAAAAATCTAGTATTTTTTTTAATGTTTAGTTCTGTTTTGCATCCAATAATCCAGAAGGATCATTCCATTACATACTTTAAATAATGCTTTTTTGGAGTCAGTTAAAAAATAGATTAACACTTTCAAATGTATCTGTTATCTGCTACAAAGACACTTCAACCTTTTTGCTTGCTTCAGGTACATCTTCAGGTTCTGTATGAACCTGTTTCTGTCTAAACTTTTTTTCCATTCATTGGTAAACACTTTCTTTATCTGTGTTCTGTCGAAGCAACCCATCTAACTGCTCACTTTGTGTCTTCCTGCAACTATTGCTTTCATTTGTTCTTATGCATTACGCCTCTTTTCCTGGTGCATCAGGTGACTGCTGTTCCTTAAAATGCTGTTTAAAATTTACTAGGGTTAAATCACCAACAAAACATTTGGTTAAATAAAAGCCAATAATGCTAGTATTTTTCCATTGATTTCTTTGATAAATTTTATCTTGTTTTTTTTTACTGTTTGTGTAATTAGAATATATAATCCTGGGGGGGAAGAGGTAATGTTGTCTTCTTTGTTTTTTAGTGTCGAGCTTACTGTTTGTTCACACTACAATAATTTGTAGGAGAGGAAAGCTTCAGAATTGTAAATAGTGAAAGTAGGGTGTTCTGTATTTTATGAAAGTTTCTGGGGTATTAGGAGATGAGTCCCAAATTAAAGGTCTGAGCTTACCAAAAAAAACCCCCTTTTGCATATGAAACTTCCATTCACTTCATGTGAAGCCAAGTGACTTGAAAGAAATGGGGTCTCATACATCAGCCCTAATAGAATATCAGATACAAAGTATAAAGTACAGGCAATCCTTGGACTTACGACACAGTTGGTTCCTGAAAACGGCATCTTAAGTCAAAACCTAACTTGGAACTGATTTTTCCCATAGGAAACAATGTTATAAATGGGTGATTTGTTCCTGAACCAAGGCCTGATACCCTGTTGTCACCAAAAATAACCCAGAATTTGTACTCAATCAATTATAGATGAGTAATATGGCTACATTAATGTATTTATATTGTAAATAGCAATCATATTGATTTGGAAGGATTTCTTTGAGGTGACTTTGGACATTTTGAAGGGCTTTTGATTGGACTTTTTGAAGGGTTCTTGGCTGGAGTCTTCTCAGGAATCTTGGCTGCAAGTTTTTCTGGAGTCTTGTCTGCTTTCTTAAAGAGAGTGTCCAAGGAAGTTTGGATACATGTTCTCCAGAGAGATGGGTGACACAGTGACTTGTCTGCTGTCATGGTGTCACATCAAATCAACCCAGTAATTTAAAGATGTCTTCAACCCAGAAATTGCTATTGAAGGTTTCCAGTTTGCCTTCTGGCTCACATTTTCTCTCTTCATTGGCATGTGATGATGGGCACAGCAGATGGCACATGCTTGTGCCATTTTCCCACCTCAATTTTCTCATTACTCAGGAACATTGCTTGAACTAAGAGTGTTTAACATCCTTCTCTTGCAGCTCATGTGTTGTCTTTTTAAGCCAAGAAGTTCTTTGTATCTCAGTAGGCTCATATACATGTTGCCCTACAGTGCAGCAACACATTCCATTGCCATATGGTGCACTATGGGGACGTAGCAATCACGTGGGTCTACACATGATCGCTAGCTACGTTGCTGTAACAGCATGTTCCTTGCTTATAGTGTGCCACTATGGCAGTGTAGCAGGGCAATGTAAGTATGTTCTACCTGTATGGTGCAATATGGGTGGTTACTGTGCCATGCTTTAATACTTCCAAAAGAAAGTACTAAAGCATGGCACAGTAACAGTGTTGCTGTACGGCAATGTGTAGACATGCCCAATGCTCCTTCCCTGCTTGTTTTTTCATCTCTCTCGCTGTAAGCTTTCAGTGTACCTGTGAGCTTTTCCTGGTTTATATGCCTTCCCTTAAATGTCTGGCTTCTTTGTTTTGTGTTCAAGAATTTCCCACTTCCCAAACTTTTGCTAACCTCCTTAAGTATTCATGCATTTTTCACTATTGGTATAATTTTGATAGTCCAGTTAATCTTTAGTGTGATGAAGGTATGTAATTTTTAATTTGTCTTGCTAGGTAATAATAATGATGGCATTGAAAGTCGGAATGGCACGGCAAGTGCACTCTTACACATAGATGAGTCTGCTGGACTTGGGAGACTAGCTAAACAAAAACCAAAGAAGAAGAGGAGACCTGAATCCAGGCAATATCAGACAGGTAAGTACTGAAGTGATCCTGTCCTCTAGCGGCAGGACCCATATAAATGTGCAAATGGAGGCAAATAAACACTCCCAAACAAATGTACATTGTTGGCTGGGACGCAGATTTCTACAGAAAGATGATTACTGTGTTCTCTGTCTTGCTGACTAGATTTTTCAGGTCACACGGCCAATGTATATTTTCTTTTTAAAATTTTGAACTAAAAATCTTTACAGAATATCCCATAGTTTCAAATGAAAGGGAACCTACCTCAGCCAAAATAAAAGTGATAGTGTAGCAGAAGTTTAAATCTTATAAACCCAACTTGTTCTACTGATTTGAATATGTACATAACTTTTCTCCCAAGCTAGTATTGGCATTGCTATGCAGCGTTCCTTCTCGAGCCAGCTGCTTGTCTTTGTGTGTGTTGAGGTAAAACAGAACCTGTGCATCTGTTTTAGGAGCCCTTAATTTAAAGTGAAGGCACCAAACATTTCCTTCACTTTGACTAATTTGTAGCAGTTCCATTTTTTGTGACTCTTGAGTAACAAATCGGACAAGTCTGAAAATTAAAATAATCCTACCTTTCCCAATTCCAACTATTCTGGTATTTCTCCCATCTTTTTCAAACATTTGAGGGGAGTGGGGAGGGAATGAGTTTTACAGCATGCAGTACCCAGGAACCAGTTCAGATTTGCAAGTGAAAGAAATGGTTGGTATCTCTTTGCCAGGTATTTATGAAAAACTCTATCCTGTCCATTGCTGCTACCTGATTTGGTAACACATTTACTTTTTAATATGTTAAAATAAAATATATTGCATAGCAAAGTTTGTGTGATGAATAAGATCCATTAATTTGGCTAAAGTAGTATTAAATTTAGAATTTTGGAAGGTTGGGGAAAACAAATTGTTTGCTGTTTGTGTCTTTTGCTTATAGTAGTTGCTAATAGAGAATGATAGATTCCAATTAAAAGATACATTTGAGAGAATATTGTGATGTATAATTTATTTAACTGATCAGTTAAATAATTTTGTTTGAATTTCAGCAGGTTTCTTTAATGTAGATCATCTGACATTGATTTGTGATTGGAAAGACACTCATCCCTCTGGATGTTTCATGCTTGACATTTCTGCTAAAGGCAAAAGTTTTGAATCCGCAGCTATCACTGTTGGGAAATTCTGACTTGCAGTTTTATAGATTTAATGTGGAAAAGTGGTTAAAGCCAACTCAATACAGCAAATGGAAGAAACCCACTTGGATATACTTAACAATATAACTTAATGTTAACAAATGTTAACGAAAGGCTTGAATATCAACTTCATGATTTTTGTTTGTTTTCTTTTGTTTTCAGCAATAATCATTGGCCCTGATGGTCATCCCTTGACTGTCTACCCTTGCATGATTTGTGGAAAGAAATTTAAATCCAGAGGGTTCTTGAAAAGGCACATGAAAAACCACCCAGAGCACCTTCTTACAAAGAAGAAATACAGATGCACAGACTGTGATTACACTACCAATAAAAAACTAAGTTTGCATAACCACTTGGAGAGCCACAAGCTGACCAACAAAACAGAAAAGCTTATTGAATGCGATGAATGTGGGAAGAGCTTCTCTCATGCAGGAGCTTTATTTACTCACAAGATGGTACATAGGGACAAAGGGGTCAATAAAATGCATAAGTGCAAATTCTGCGATTATGAGACAGCAGAGCAAGGGTTACTGAGTCGTCATCTCTTGGCAGTGCACAGCAAGAACTTTCCTCACATTTGTGTGGAGTGTGGCAAAGGCTTTCGTCATCCGTCAGAGCTCAAAAAGCACATGCGGATTCACACTGGTGAAAAACCATATGAGTGCCAATATTGTGAGTACAGGTCTGCCGACTCTTCTAACTTGAAAACTCACATAAAGACTAAACATAGCAAGGAAATGCCATTCAAATGTGATATTTGTCTTCAGACATTTTCAGATACCAAAGAGCTACAGCAACATGCCCTTATGCATCAAGAAAGTAAAACACATCAATGTTTGCATTGTGACCACAAGAGCTCAAACTCCAGTGATTTGAAACGACACATAATTTCAGTCCACACAAAGGATTATCCTCACAAGTGTGACATGTGTGATAAAGGCTTTCATAGGCCCTCAGAACTGAAAAAACATGTGGCAGCGCACAAGGGTAAAAAATTGCACCAGTGCAGACATTGTGACTTCAAGATTGCAGATCCATTTATTCTGAGTCGTCATATTCTCTCAGTTCACACAAAGGATCTTCCATTCAGGTGTAAGAGGTGCAGAAAGGGCTTTAGGCAACAAAATGAGCTAAAAAAACACATGAAAACACACAGTGGCAGGAAAGTTTATCAATGCGAGTACTGTGAGTATAGCACTACGGATGCTTCGGGCTTCAAACGACATGTTATTTCCATTCATACAAAAGACTATCCTCACCGCTGTGAATACTGCAAGAAAGGCTTCCGAAGACCTTCAGAGAAGAACCAGCACATTATGAGGCATCATAAAGATGTTGGGCTGCCTTAAAGTCTCTTTCACAGACTAAGTGGCTGGAGTTATAAAGGAATATTGCCTTCTAGGCAGTAAGCTTATTTTAAAGTCAATCACCAATTACAAAAAACAAGCATACTGTGCATTTGATTTATTGCTGTATACAAATAGGATTATTGCTTCTAGTTGACTTTTATACCTTTTGTTCAATAGCGTGTTCTGAATTCTATTCAGTTTGTTTAATAAATGAGGAAAAGATGGCAACAATAAAGTTGCATTTAATAAAGTAAACCCTGTCTCATACTGAATTTTTCAACCGTAATAGTTTATTTAAATATATTTATCTTACTGACCTTGTTGGAACTCACACTGTCCATGTTAATACAATTTTGTTGTGAATTTTAAAAATATTTTAAATTTTCTCTTGATAAATTGTCAGATGTGTATAAAATAACAGGAAATTTTAATGTCAAGGATAACGTCATTAGGGCCCACCTAATTGTCTAGCATATACAGAACTTGTGGCAAATTAAACACTTTACATATGAGCAGTTACCCATCAAACATTACTGAACAAAAATATTCTGCATTTTTATTCCAGTTTCTTTTACAAAGGATATATCATTCCTCCCTATAAATAAGTACAAATGATGGTTGGTGGCATTTTTTTCAATGCTTATTTTTACTTCTTGGAGGTAGAATGTTCATAAATATTATGTTTATTATTCTGTGTTTCTTTGTTGGATGGTTGTGTATCTCAAATGAATTTCGATTTCCTCAACGTTCTGGTGACTAAACGTTGACAAAACATGAAATATAGTTGTTCTTGCTGACTGGTCAGGTTGCAACTTTTAATATGTACAGTTAAGTATACCCCAAATTAAATAAGAATTTATATATAATATTGCTATATGAAACACCAATATTTGGATCAAATAATCATATTTTTATTGGGAATTTCTTTAGATTAAAATTAAAGAACAGTAGATTGCCTCGGTTTTGAAAGCCTGCTATAATGGGAGAGAACTTCAAGTGGGAGGATAGGGTGCAGAAGCTGACAACTTACTAGAGAATAGAGCTCTGGTTTCCAGGCCAATGTCCTTAAATATAAAAAATAATCTATGACTGGCAGAACCATTTTGAAATAGGATATTTTCCATGACCCATTAGCATCTGTGTTAAACTGCTGTTTATTAAGCAATTAGTATCCAGAATTAGCCCAATTCTTCTTGTTTGTTTATAAACAGCTGGGAGAGTATTACAATTATTGTATGCAATGTTGCCACCTGAAGACTTATATTATGAAGCTGCATCAGTTGCTAATTGCTGTATAAATGTGCAAGACATGAAGTCATGTGTCTTAAGACAACAAAAGTTAAGCAAAGCTGAATAGCTTAATTGCATATGAAGTTTTGATATCCAATCCTGCGGTCTTGCTCAGAGTGTCATTGAAGTCAGTAGTTGACTAAGGATGGCAGGATTCGGCCTGAAGTACAAATATAGGATTGTGACAGATTTTGCAACCACTCGTCCCATCACATGGCACTTGCCAGTGTGAGTAGTACCATTTTGTTTAATGGGATATATTCACTGGGAAGGGGTATAGATCCTGGCCCTTGGTTTTTACTGAGTCTTTTGTAAAGACTTCAGGCCCGTAATGAAACTGAGGTTTGCTCTAAGATGTTCACATCCTAATCTTCACTATTGTTAAGAACTGGAACTATTGCTCAGTCGGTACGTTATGTTTTACTCTAAATGTTAACACCTGTGGTTAACTTGAACTTATCATTTCAGGAAAAGCTAAATGCATCTAATGCTACTTTACTGTTGTTCCCCACAGTCTCTGCTGTCTGAGGGACACAGACTGATCCTGTGCTATATTGGCAAATGTTGCCAATAACAGCCCTTGATATTTTAGTGCATAGGCGGACTACTGTGCCTCCATGAAACTCTGCTATATTTAGTGGGGTTCTGTTGGCATATCAGTTGGCCGAAATGCTGCATGTTGTAAAATGGGGGCCTTATGTGCACAAAAACTTAATGCATTATTTTCCATTCAAATATTGCAAAAATTCTCTTCGTTCAGATAGAATTCCCTTGTACGATTTGCTCTATGCAAGTGGAAACCTTAAAGAAAAGTGTATAAAATCTGCATAAATTCCCACAGAACTGCTGAAGAGTTTTAGTCATTTAGAACTATATTTTTTTAAATAAGCTGAAAGACAAAGAACACAAAATTTGCGCATTTTATTTCTTTTATGTAGCCTGGAATCATACACACTTTTTTTTTAAAAAGCACAATATTAAAACCTTTTTTAAAAAAATAAAAATAAAAAAATTAAGGTTTTGGTCAAGTGGATTTTGTAAAATGTATTTGTCTGTATAAAGAGAAAATGAAATTATAGTTATTGTTAATGTACTGACATTAGTTACAGGCTAGTTTTAATTCTTAAATAATTTGATTAGCAAATGCTATAAAATGGATGTTTCAGTTCAATGTTTTAAAAAGGTACAGATTTTTACAAGGACATAATATAAATTATTGTTCTGTAGAAATACCCTGTTAAATATTGTACGTCCTTCCCTCTGTACACTTTGTAAAAAAAGAAAAGAAAAAAATGAAATACATAGAATCATATAGGGATGTGTGACATTATTGTAATTGTGTACTTGATAATAACGTGAAAAAATAAAAATCAGAATATTTTCCTGTTAATGTTTAGTCTATTTGATACCAGTACTAAAACAAGGGTTTTACTTAACAAGACACACCTTTTGTTAATTTAATGGATTTATAAATACAACAGATTATTTTTAATTTTCCATTTCTTAACTCATTTTGTGCAGTACTGGGCTGTAACTTTAAATTCTTCATGTTTTGTGAAGCAAAAATATTTATCAGTGATCTTTTAACTTTGTATTTGATCTTTTCTTATGTATAAGTTTCAGGGACTTTGAGGCCCTTACAGAGGCAGGAACCTCTTAGTTGTCATGTCCTTTGACTTATATTTCTGTTTTCTTCAAAGGTTTATTTCTAGTAAACATTTTATAATTTTATAATTCCACTATCAGAAGGGTTAAGCACTTCATGAAGTACTATAATAATATACTGATAATAGATAACTTCCATTGTATTATTTTCCAGGGTAATGCAACATGTGCTGCTATCATTCAGTAAAATAAATGAATTACCATATTTACTCACACCATGCACATCTTTCACCCCAAATCAGCCCTCAAATATTGGGGTGTATATCAATCAGGGAAGCTGTTTTTTCTTTGCTGGACTAGTAGCAGGGTGGAATAAAGCAAGTAGACATGGAAACTCACGGCCATCAAGACTGCTGCCGCTTCTTAGGGCTGCAAAGAGCAGTGGCAGAGTCCAGTGCTAACCCTCTCACAACTGCTTCTGAGGCAGTAGCCAAAAAGCCACTGACTGAGCGTGAGTGAGTTGCTGTTGCAGCCTGCAGTATCTTAATGAAGCTTGTGATGTGGAAACAATACTTCATTATTTATAGGAACTTATATAAAGAAATATTTACAGCCATAAGGAACCATTTACAGGTTCCTAGGCTTGCTGCTGTCCTGCCAGGAAGTTCCTGCTGCCTCACCTGCAAACTCTTCTGGTATGCCACACTTCCTAGACATGCTATATGTTTCCAGGAGGATTTACTCTCACACTCTGGAAAAATTGCTTTTTTCTTCATTCTGCCTTCCAAAAACAAGGTGAATGTTTTATTTGGGGGTGTGCAGTATGCAAGAAAATACAATACACAGAAACAATACAAAGAGCTAGTGGGGGCAAACCTTTTTGGCAGGTGGATCACAAATTAGTCCCACATTCTGATTCCCCTTCCCTTGCCTGATCTGCTTCTCTGCTCTCTGTTCGCTTCCTTATGCTCCCTACATGTTTACTGTATTTCACGGTATATAAGTCGAGTTTTAAAGCCCAATTTTTATATCTTAAAAACCAAACTAGACTTTTATGCTATCCCACATCAAAAAATTGAGGTTGGGGTTGGGCTCTGCACTCAGAGGGCACAACTCCATCCCCTGTGAGCGGTGCTGCTGGTTCCTCTTGCTGCTTTCAGGGAATAAGGCTGCACCAGCCGAGCCCATCCCCATCCCCTGTGACCAGTGTAGGGCTTGCAAGGGATGGGGCTGTGCCGGCCAAGTGCTGAACCTAGCCCCGTCTGCTGCGAATGGTGCTGCCCAATGCCAAGCCCAGCCCTGCTTGTAGGGGACAGGGCTGGGCTCGGCACTTGGCTGGCACATCCTCATCCCCTGCTAGTGGCACTGGGCTCAGTATTTGGTGGTGCTGCTCACAGGGGACAGGGACAGGGCTTGGCTGGCACAGCCTCATCCCCTGTAAGCAGAGCCTGTAGCGCTGCTCACAGGGATGGGGCCAACTGAGCACTGAGCCCAGCACCTTCCCTTTCCCCATCCCCTGCGAGTGGTGTCAGGCTCAGTGCCACACAGGGGATGGGGCTGGGCTTGGCACTCAGCTGGCATAGCCCCATCCCCTGTGAGCAGCTCCAGCAGCACCGCTTGCAGGGGATGGTGCCACACCACCCAAGCCCAGCGCTGACTTATACACCATGCCTATGAAAATTCTTACCTTTCAGATCAGAAAGCTGGGAGTCGGCCTATACGCTGTGTTGACCTATACACTGTGAAATACAGGGTTACTTTGCTTTCTGCTTCTGGCCCTGTGCTCTTTGCCTGATCTACTTCTCTGCTTTCTGCTTGATGCCCTATCTGCCACTGTTCTGTCATCCTCTTCCTGATCTGCTGTGTGCCATAGGCTGCCATACCACCTATGGCATGCATGGCTCAGGTTAGCCACTCCTCCAATAAATAAAGTACTTCAACCCATTTCTCTTCTATGGGCACGGTGAGCGCACATGTGCTTCCTGCAGCATTTCAAACCCCTTTGAGATGCTGCAAGATGCACATGCGGGAACAAAAAAAACATTCCCTGTGCTGCATATTTGCAGTGCAGGGGCAAAATTAGACCCCCAGGGGTAAAAAAAACCGCTGCAGAACAGCGGGGCAAGGCACGGTCCTGGACTGTGCCTGGAGGCAACCTGGGAGTCAGTCCTCCACGAGAGATGCTCTGGTTTCTGGCCAGAGCATCTCTGTGGTACTGCTATCCCCAGCGCTGTCAAAGGTAGGTTAGGCACGTGAGGTGGGGGTGTTCATGGGTGTGGGTGGGTGTGAGGAGTAG